AAGTCACAGGACACATCATATTACAGTAATTGCAACAAAGAAATGAATTTCAGAAATTTCATCTGTGCTGTACGTTGCATAGACAGCACATTTGACAATAAAGTTGTTCTTTAGTTGATTTCTGTGTCTCACATACCGAAACCCGAGGTTGAACCAGGGACCTTTAGATCTTCAGTTTAACACTCTCCCAACTGAGCTATTTCGGCCTCTTGTTGAGTTTCCTCAGGCATTTTTCACCAGTCAGTTAATGGCATTTAATGGCCAAAATCTCAACAGCGAGTCACAGGACACATCGTCGGACGAGAATCGCAACAAAGAACCAATTCCTGTGCCTCACATGACAAAACCAAGGTTTGAACCAGAAACCTTTCGAACAACAGTGTATCGCTCTCCCAACTGAGCTATTTCAGCCTCTTCCGGTTTTAACTAGGCCCACTTAACTAGTCAATCAATGGGATCTTATTGGCCAAACAACAGTGAGTCAAAGGACACACTGAAGTACAGTAATTGCATGAAAGAAAAAGTTTCTGTGCTTTACATGCCAAAAACCGGGGTTGAACCAGAAAACTTAAGCTCTTCAGTGGAACACTCTCCGAACTGTGCTATATCAGGCTCTTCTGGCATTAACTCAGCCCCTTTCAGCAGTCACTTAATGGGATTTTATGGGCCAAAATCACAACATCGAGTCAGAGGACACATTCTAGGACAGTAATCGCAACAAAGAAATTAATTCTGTGCCTTACATGCCAAAACCCCAGGTTGAACCAGGGACCTTTAGATCTTCAGACTAACGCTCTCACAACTGAGCTATTTGGGCCTCTTGTGGAGTTTCTTCACCCCTTTTCACCAGTCGATAAATGGGATTTTATTGGCCAAAATCACAACAGTGAGTCACAGGACACATCGTCTTTCAGAAATTGCAACAAAGAAATGAATTGTGTGTCTGACATGCCGAAACCCGGGACTTTGAGAGTTTCAGTCTCATGCTCTCCCAACTGAGCTATATCAGCCTCTCGTGGTTTTAAATAAGCCATTTTCACCAGTCAATTCATGGAATCTTATCGGCCCAAATCACAACGACAAGTCACAGGACACATCGTAGTACAGTAATCGCAACAAAGAAATGAATTCAAGAAATTTCATCTGTGCTGTATGTTGCATATACAGCACATTTGACAATAAAGTTGTTCTTGAGTTGATTTCTGTGTCTTACATGCCTAAAAAGTGGGTTGAACCAGGGACCTTTAGATCTTCAGTCTAATGTTCTCCAACTGAGCTATTTCAGCCCCTTCCAACTTGAACTAGGTCCTCTTAACCAGTCAATTAATGGGATCTTATCGGCCAAAATCACAACAGTGAGTAAAAGGACACGTTGTTGTGCAGGAATTGCATGAAAGAAAAAGTTTCTGTGCCTTACATGCCGTAAAGCGGTGTTGAAACAGAAAATTTAAGATGTTCAGTCTAACGCTCTCCCAACTGAGCTATATCAGCCTTTCCTGGCATGAACTACGCCCTTTTCACCAGTCAATCAATGGGATGTGATCAGTCAGTCGCCACTGAGTCGCAAGACACATCGTCTTACAGTAATCCCAACAAAGAAATGAATTCTGTGCCTTATATGCCGAAACCCGGGAGTGGGCCTGGGATCTTTAGATCTTCAGTCGAATGCTCTTCCAACTGAGCTATTTCGGCGTCTTGTGGAGTTTCTTCAGTCCTTTTCACCAGTCAATTAATGGGATCTTATCCGCCAAAATCACAACGGCAAGTCACAGGACACATCATATTACAGTAATTTCAACAAAGAAATGAATTTAAGAAATTTCATCTGTGCTGTACGTTGCATATCCAGCACATTTGACAATAAAGTTGTTCTTGAGTTCATTTCTGTGTCTCACATGCCAAAACCCGAGGTTGAACCAGGGACCTTAAGTCTGCAGTCAAACACACTCCCAACTGAGCTATATCGATCACTGCTGGTATTGACTTAGCCCTTTTCCACAGTCAATGAATGGGATCTTATTGGCCATCACAACCGAGTCTCACGAGACATCGTAGTAGAGTTCAGTAATCGCAACAAAGAAATGAATTCTGTGCCTTCCATGCTGAAACCCGGGGTTGAACTCGGGACATTTCGGGCTTCAGATTCATGCTCTCCCAAATGAGCTATTTCAGCCTCT